GGATGGGGGCGGGGGATGGAAGGATGGGGGCAGGAGAAAACAGCCCGGAGCTCTGTGCCGCCGGCGGGGGAAAAACGGTGTGCCTCTCCCAGCTCCGGCCTCCCTGAGCCTGGCCTTCCCGCTGCAGCCCGCGGCCGTAAAGTTACTCTAGTGATAGCTCTGTCTTCTGGTCTCGGCGAGGAGGAGAAGGGGACCCCATCCCCTCCCCTCCCCTCGTCTCCCACTTCGTGCTACCCCCTGCATATGCCCACCTTAGAGTTGCTGGAAGTTGACAGTCCGCATCCGGGACGCAGCTGAGAGTCCGGGCTCTTTCCCACCCCGCTCCTCCGGCGTGTCTGTCGCTCCTTTCGCGGCCACTCTGCTCCGGTTTAGTCCTGAGGAGGCAGCGAGCTGGCTCGGTTTTGGGAATCCTCTTGTACACCCCTCCCTTCGCCTCCGCGGGCTGAATCAGCTTCTTTTACACCACCGGCAGCTGGACTGGAGCAGAGGCTCGTTTGCTTCTCTGCAGCCGCGATGAGCTAAGTAGTTGCCTCCATGTCCTTCCTCTAACCATCTGATAGTTTTATGTGGTGACATGAGCAGAAAAGACCCCTGTAGAGGCGCTTCATTAATGTGCCACTTCTTTGCTATCATATGACAATCGCCTTGGGAGCAGGGGGAGGGGAGCAGGGAGGAGGGGGCTGGAGAGAAAGGCATAATCTGGTTTCATTTACACCTATTTACATGGACACCTTGGGCCAATGGGAATCATTTCCATTTGAAGACAAGGCGAGGGGTGAAAAGGCTCCGCCAGCGGAATTGCAGTGCGATGGTACCCGGTGGCTGGGGGTGGGGGGGAAGGTATGCACTAACCTCTCTGTGGACTTTGCAGGAAGCTTAGTCTGCAATTCACACTTACAAATGGAGGTACTGAGCAGTGGGATGTTTGACATGGAAATTGCTTGGCTGTGGTATTCTGTTTGTTCTGCATTGTTATCTGATTTGTATTGTTGGCTAACTTAAGGCAAGCCTTTTTCTCTGTAACGAGAGACTTTCTCTTTGCCAAATCCGCTCTCCCCGAGCGAAGGTTCTTTCGAGGAGCGATAAGATCGGGGCTCCTCGGTAGCCACCGCCCCGGGAAGTTACTCTCCCCCTCCACGCTCCACCCTCCCCCCCCCAGCCCATGCAGGACTGGTTCTGCGGACCTGTTGGTGTAAAGCCGTGGGAATCGCCCTAAATAATCCCAGCGAGCGGGCTCCCGGCCGTGGCACAGCCCGGTGTGCTCGGAACGAGTTCCCTGCACGCCGCCGTTCTGCTCGCGGGGCCGCGGAGGGTCCGCTTGCCCCTCTGCCCGGTCGGCCTCGGGACTGGGGGATCCCGCGGAGCTGGGCCGGGCTGTCCAGTCCCTGTCACCGGTCATGATGCTAAATATCCTCAGTTTGACGCCTTCTGTGGGATTTACGCGCTGCGTCTCAGGCTGTTCGCTTGCCTGTGTGCTGCTCGGTGCGCACCCGTGTGTGGAGGAGCAGGCAGGGTGTGGAGGAGCAGGCAGGGGGTGGAGGAGCAGGCAGGGTGTGGAGGAGCAGTCGCAGGGTGTGGAGGAGCAGGCAGGGTGTGGAGGAGCAGGCAGGGTGTGGAGGAGCAGGCAGGGTGTGGAGCACCCGAGTTGCGGCTCTCTCTGCTCCACCGCCTCCCTCCTCCCCGGGAACCGAGGCCCGATCCTGGAAGCGCAGCCCAGACGAGCAGCTCGCTGCCAGCCGCGTGTCCTGGGGGGAGGATGAGGCCCGGAAGGTCCCAGGCTTGCCCTAGCACAGGGGGGAAGTTTGTATGATGTGTATTCCCGAGGCTGCGGTGCATCCTGTCACCCTAGAGCCAGAATTAAAGATTGTCTCGGGAGCTGCAAGCCCTGGGAGGAAGAGCCTTTGTGGTGAATACACATCAACTCCATTAACAATATTTTCGGAGTCGGTCAATAACTCACCAAAACGTAACTTAAACACGATGAATTTAGGAGATTAAACAATTTCATTAATATTGAAATGGCTGCTGAGGCTGAGCGCGCGCTCTTGAAATGCAAGCGCACGTTTTTCAATATTAACAGAAGTACTTGAAAAGAAGAATAATGTCACCTTCTTAATTCAGCAAAAATAGCCGGGCTGGGGGAGGGAGCGCGGCGGCGGCTCCGCAGCGCGATCGCTGCGACACGGGCTCTGCGGACGCCTGGGAGCCTCCTCGGAGGGACCGTCCCCAGCAAGCGGGGCTCCCTCAAACCTGGCAGCAGTCTGGAAACCGCATTTCACACCGCGCCGACCTCGTGTGTGTTACGCTGCGCTCCCCTCCTTCCAACCCGCCTGCCCTCGGTCCCATCTAATCCCTCTCTCTCGGGGCAGGATGTCGTTTAGAGAATAATGAGCAAATAATTGTGTTCCTAGGACTCCGAGCAGCCGAGCGGCCCCGCGCTGCCGAGCTAACGAGCCCTTTTGGAGGGAGACCTGCCGCATGTCACCCTGTGCCCCTGGCAGGGAAGGGCCCGGGAGCGTTTGTGCGGTTCAGAGCCCGAGAGCTGCCCTGCTCAGTTTAACCGGCTCAGAGATGCTCCGTCCAGCCGGGCAGGGCAGGAAGGCAGTCTCCAGAAATATTTTTGGGGGTATAAGAGGTGATGAGATGATGACTGTTTGTTAGGGGGTAAGAAAGACGATACTCTGAAATGAGGACAGATTCCTCCCAGCGTCACCAGGACACCACGCAGAAGGCTTCTATTTCTGTACTGAGAGCCCCCAAATATGTGGGTGTAAGGGACACTTCCCTCCCACATCCCAGCCCCCCGTCCCCAACTCCTAACACCCCGCAGTTCGAGTTTTGTTTCTCAGCCCAAGTTCACTCCTGGGATGCCCATCAAAAAGACGGCTCAGAAACAGCACGGGAGTGAATAAGCACGGGAGTGACAAATTCTTTTCTTCCTCTTTTTCCCAGTACCTTTTCTTTCCGAAGAAAGAAAACAAAACAAAACAACCGCTGGTGCAAGAGGGAACCGCAAGCTGCAAAGTTAAAGAAAAGTCGACTTCCGTTGTCATTTGCTGCTCCGAGTGCGAACGAGGTATGGCTGGAAGGCGCATGAATTTTTTTTTCCTTCTTTTTTTTTTTTTTTTTCCATTGTAAAGGAATGTGTGAGCGGAGGGGTAGGGCAGGCGAAGTCATCCCAGTAATTGATACCCAAAGTTTCACTTCGTGTTAAGCACACAACAGATGATAGACCTGGGAAGTATAGGATTTAAATGCAACTTGTAGCATTTGCCTTTTACTTTGAAAGCCAACACTAGGGAGGAGGAGAGGGTGCAAGTGAATCCAAATCCATTGTGTAGGACACCAAAACAAATAGACGTTTTTCTGAAGTCTAATTCAAATAAGGAGCTCAGAGGAAGTGTTGGGAAAACTGTATAAAATACACATAAGTCAATTATATCAATGTGCAAACCCAATGGAAATCTATTTCGTGCAAGGGCCATTCAGCCCTTGCATGGAGCCCATCATGGACCACCTTTCTGCATGGAAGGTTTGCAATAGCCCCCTTTCCCACAAGCAAGACCACACACGTTTACAGATTTGCTAATAATTTATGCTAATTTTCCTCCATAAATCCACAATTCGCCTCAGTGGCAAGCAGGTCTGTTGAGAGAGGAAAAGGAGACAGAAAAGTGACAAATACAATATTGATTTTGAATCCTTGTGGCTGCAAGCAGGTGTGCAGCTTTGCAGAGGGGAGGAGTGGGAGAGGGGCTGTGGGGGGAAGCCAAGAAGTTTTCCAAGGGTAGAAAAAACCCACTCCGTGTGAGAGAATAGCTCACAACCTTGTTAATATTTACAAACCAGTTGGGAGAAAAGAGAAGGGAGGGGGGAAGTACCAGCTTCTTAGGGTTTCCTAGGCTGCAAAACACAATGCCAGGCTCTGAGCAAGCTTCCCCCGTTTTGGAAAGTCAACTCCAGGCTGCTGGTTGTGGCTGCGTTTCGGCTAAGCCTTGCTCTCTTTTTTTTCAGTAATGGTTCTGCTTCATTTTGCTTCTCGGGGGCCAGGAGGGAGAAGGAAGCGGAGAGATTTGGGGTCTCCTGCTTTTCTGTGTACTTGAATTCCCGGTGCGGTTTCCCGAAGCGCTGCGGCCGCTCTGGGAACGGCAGGGCTTTGTCCCACCCCACATTCTTCACCAAATCTGCCACTTTGGCGTGAAACTACTTAGCGCCCTTTCAAAAGGATTTTGTTCCTTTCCCAACGAGCACTAAACAAACTCCCCCTGCTTGTCAAGGCTGGACTGAGAACTGCTCCCCAAACCTGTATTCCCGAT